TTATATAGGAGAGACCAAGGAATTCACATTTCTTTGTCTTTATCTGGAGAGAAAATTACTAAAAGCAACAGCAAATTCAGGAGATGTGTGTAAAAGGTAATTTATCCACTTAGCCTCACAGCTAATTTGATGGATTTCCCCCCCACACCCCGTGTTTTTAAAAGCATATTGTTTGGCTATTTGAACTCTCTTGTTGTCTAGTACCTCTCAGATATGCTGCCAATCGTCTTTGAGCTTAAATGAGCTTTTGTTAAAAGTACTGGTCCTATAGAATCCCCCAACCCATCTAAGAGCTACAGTGGGGAGCACATATAGGAGCCTCCCCTTCCTTCTTTGCTCGCTCGCTCGCTGGGGATCCGTTAGCCCGTGTCCTCTCCCTGCCACCCACAACTGCAAAATTTTATCCCCGAAGATACAATACATCCTCACGCCAGCTTGAAATAAAGTTCCAGCTAAGCCCAGTTAATACTCCTGCCTAAATATTAATTTGCAGCTTACTTTCGTCCTTGTCTTATTTCATGACTTTTCCTCCTATGGGATTTTGAGAAACCCAAGGATATAATTCTTGAAATGTTTCATGTTTTTCTGTTTGTTTACCCGCATTTTGTTTTCTGTTTCCAAGACCATGAGAATAAACCATTCCTGTTAAGAGATATGGCTCAGAGTAAGCAATACCTCCCATCTCCCTCACCTCCAGGAGGGTCTGTGGTACCATCATGTCCAAGACTTACAATATATGACACACTGAATTGCAATAGTTTGTTCTCATGTCTGGCTCTTAGCTGGTGAGGGCAGGAGCCATGATCTGCTGGTCTTGAAGGCCTGGCACATTTCAAAAATATGTTTTCCAAAGAATGCCTGGTAGTCTAGGGTAGTAGAGTTATCTACATCAGAATTTAAGCTTTGTCACCTAACTCTGTGTTCTAGAGAAATCCCTTAATTTCTTCATCTGCAAAATGGGATGATTTCTTCACTATCCACCTCTGAGGCTCAAAAAGGCTAACATGCATTTTCTAGACTTCTCTCCATACAAACCTAAGAAGTTTGTAGCTTCTTTGGTATATTTTTAGAAAGATAAGCTTGGATTTTCTGGGGGAATATTCCTGACTCTCATGACATTCCTTTAACTCACTTTTTGGGACGAGTCTACTATTGCTTATACAGTTGTTTCATGGTTCTTACACATGTGGTTTGATTAAATTAATTCCAAGCTGTAAGACCATATTCTACATGAACTATTCCCAAAACTGTTTTTTTTTTTTTTTAAGATTTTATTTATTTATTTGAGAGAATGAGAGAGAGAGAGCACATGAGAGGGGGGACGGTCAGAGGGAGAAGCAGACCCCCTGCTGAGCAAGGAGCCTGATATGGGACTCGATCCCGGGACTCCAGGATCATGACCTGAGCCGAAGGCAGTTGCTTAACCAACTGAGCCACCCAGGCGCCCCCAAAACTGGTTTTAAAAAACAGCTGCTTTTAAGATAAACTCAATATCAGAATAATGTCCTGCTTGTACACAGTTCATTATTCCTTCAGAAACCAGGGGAAGCAGACCAGGGCTTCTAATAGCCAAGAATGATGTTCAAAAATTCTTTAGTGTCCTATCGCCTTCAATTCACCCAGTGAGAATGTGGCTAAAATCAGATTTTCTATTTTGTCTGCACAGAGTTCTTTCTGTGACAGCTTGCCAACAGCCAGATTAGTATAGATGCTCATTAATCAAGGGAGGTCAAAATGTCAGCATTCTCACTCTGGGCGCTCTTTGTACCACCTAGAAGGATGGCAGACAGGCAGCAAACACTGAGCATGTTTTGCTGTATGAATGCCAATTAACTTGTGAGGGGTTCCCTTTGTTTGGTGGGAGGACATAGAGCATAATGGTCCAAAGAATGGCTTCTGATGTTACTCAGACCTGAGCTCACATGCTTATTTTGCTTTTTTACAGGTTTTGTAACTTTGGAGCCTTTTCTTTTTTCATCTGTAAAATGGACATACAGCTACCTCCGTGATAGGCACAATACAACTGTGATGAGAATTAAACGGAGGACCTTGCTCAGCACAGTGCAGGTGCTCAAGAAAAGGTAATTATATTACTTATAATAACCACTAGTGTTATTAATTATAATGATATGAATCACATTGTAATACCAATTACATTAATAATAATAGTACAGCTTACGCTCGCTAGGTGCCCTCCTAAGAACTTATGAACATTAACTCATTTCATCAATACCCTCTTGTGGGACTATTGTTGTTCCAGGTTTACAACAGACCCAAAGAGATTAGGGAAATTGCCGTCGGGAAAGGAAGGTTTTGAACTCAGGCAATTCAGCTTTAGAACCAGAGTTCTTCACCACCATCCCATGCCACTGATGCTTTTCTGCTCAACGGTACTGCTGCGGACGTGGTGTTTTAGTACAGTGAGCGACAGTTTTTTGGATGGTGCAAGAAAGAAGAGTGTACCGCAATTCTGTGGCTTGTCATAGGTTATCTGCCTTTGACACCCACAGCAGTTTGTGTCCACTAGATGGCACTGTTGTTCAAACGAAATGTGAACCAAGTCACTACTTAGGTTTGGGAGTCTGCTAAACTTGGGAATAGCAGCAGCGCAAGCCAGTTGCATCCCTCAAAGTCTGATGGAAGAAACCCCCGAAACTTCACAGCGTAGCTGGAGATCCCTAAATACTAATGGTATGGAGAAAGAGGAAAAATATATGCTAGTTTTTTCTGGGTGTTGATGTCTGTAGAAACTCTGGACGAGTTTTGAAATCATCTAGTCCAAATGCATCAGTTCATAAATAAATAGACTGAGGGCCAGAGAGGAAAAGCTACTGGGAGATGCGCACCCAGACTTGATGGCTTTGGCTGTAGTTCTCTCTCCCTAATACTTCCAACTGATTCTAAATCACAAAGAAATTGTGGTTCCTGAATTCTTAGAAGCCTTTCCTTTGGGGTATGGGGCAGAAGACTGCCCAATGATTATGAATTTCTGCCTCATTATGTTTTATACGTATATTCAAAATCAAGACCAGACTCAGATATTTAGATATGAAGGAGGATAAAAGCAAAAAATGGTGCCTATTTCTTTTTCTTTTTAATATGTCTCCGTGGAAAGACTGAGTGACTCCACTTTATTTATTTATTTTTTTAAGAGAGGGAGACAGGGGGAGGGGCAGAGGGAAAGGGAGAGAGAGAATCTTAAGCAGGCTCCATGCCCAGTGTGGAGCCCGACGTGGGGCTCAATCTCACAACCCCGAGATCATGATCTGAGCCGAAATCAAGACTTAGACGCTTAACTGACTGAGTCCCCCAGGCACCTGGAGCGACTCCACTTTAAAAGACTGACCCAGTTGGTTGACAGTGCAGTTTGTGGATATTAAACCCAGAGCAGGTAGCAGGGTAATGGATAAGCAAAAGGACTGGAATCAGACTGCCTGGATGGAACCGAAGGACCCAGGAAAGGCCATGAGACACCCCTAAGCCTCTGTTTCCACATCTGTAAAATGGGAATATTTTTACTTTTAAGACGTTTGTGAAAATTAAATGCATGTGAAGTGCCTATGACATAGTTAAAAAACCAAGGTTAAGGGTAGCAATAAAAATGAGTATTTGTCATGATTGCTGATGCTTAGTTTTCTGTATCTCAGCTGTGAATGTCATTGCGGGTGCTTTGTCAACAACTTCTTTACTCACTGTCACATGCTAAATTGCTAAAAAAGAGACATAATGTTTCAGGTTTTGTAACTGTGTAACATCACATCTTCCTCAACCAGATGGTAGAAGTAGCCCAGATACATATGGCATGTACTTCATTATGTGTTCACATCAACTTTATTTAAAACGCTCGTAGGCTTTGGGCTCCTACTCATAGTTTAGACAGAGAAGGTGACTGGCATGCAAATAATAACCATTGAACACTTGCTGAGTGTCAAACATTGCTCTGTTTTGCAAGTATGAACTCATTTAATTCTTACTACGACCGTGTGATCTAGGAACTAATACTTTTCCTTTTTGAAAGATGAGCAAACTGGGATCCAGAAACTTGGGCTCCAGCTTAAATAATAAGCCAGAGTCAGCATCTGAACTCAGGTGGCCTGGTTCTGCCACCTCTCAGGGCAGGATATGAGGAGGAGGCTTCTCCAAGGTTCCTGAGGCCTAGCTTGCTTCCCTCCCACCCCCCCATACCAAATAACACAATGAAGCCTGGTAGAGCCACTGTTCGTGTAGCTCTTCTAGGCTACTGTTAACAGGCAACTTCATGACCCAGGAGGCTCATGTATTAAACCTACATCAATATTTTTATGGCAGTTAGTTAATGAGATCAACTGGTTAAACATTTAATAGACTCCTGAGCTTAACAGGGTAAAATAAAGCTGCAATATTCAGTGTAACTTATTGGTTGCTCATATGTTCTGTAACATTCCAGACTACCCTCTTTTCACTGCCAGGAATTTAGACTCTATTCCCAGGTAGAATTCTTGAATTCAGATTTACAAGAGACATAGCGGTCTTCTGGTCTACCCCTCTGCCTTTAAAAAGAAGGAAACTGAGGTACCATTTGCTTCTGGCTAGTCCCAAGTTATCTTAGAGGAAGAGCTGGAGCCCTGTTCATTCAGGTATTACATACTGCTTCTACATCCCTTAGCTATTTTATTTTGAATAGTATCACTCTGAATACTTGCTGAAATTCTCCTGTTTATACCAATAACAGTTTTCCTTCAGTGATGAACCCAAATTCAACAGAGAGCATCTGTTCTTTACAGATAGCATCTTCCTGTTGATCATGTCTTCTTTCCTCCTTCGCTTGACATCAACTTTTATGGGGCAGGGGACCAAGGACATTTATCACAAAAAATTTTTAAATCAAATAGTGTTTTTTACCAGAAGCCACGCACACAAGCCATCGAACCTAGACCTACGACCACGACCCTACTACACAGGACCAAGGCGACTTCAAAGCAGAATTGCCAAAAGGGAGCTGGGAGGTGACTCCCACTTACCGATTTCGGTCATCGTTATCCCTGGCGCTAGCTGCCCGTTGTTGAAAGAGCTATAGGTAAACAAGTTGGGTACGGACGTGAGGTCATAGATAGGCTCTTGCTTTATCTGTTTGATCCCAGTCATGTCAAGTCCTGACTGATCAGGGGACGGCTGGCCGGAATCCACGCTGTAATACCCCTCGGACTTGGGCAGGTCGATGACGTGTCCGTTGGCGTAAGTGCCGCCGGCCTCGCTGTTGAGGCTGCTGAGGCCGTTGCTGATGCTGCTGCTGTACACCCTGGCCAGGGCTTCGGCCTCCCCGCTCTGCTGCTGCCGCTGTTCCTGCAGCCGCTGCTGGTGCTTCTGCACCTCAGCATACAGGCTGTCCCTCTGCTTCTTGGACATCCTGCCGAACTTCACGGCTGCGCGGGAGGGCAGAGAGAAAAGCGGGAGAGAACGCTTGGAGTTATCATTTGGGCAAGCCCAAGGCTCAACATCAGATGCACAGAATCCTAGCACCCAGAAGCCCGAGAGTGCGTTCATCTGCAGCCCGCATCCGGCGAAAAGTTAGACTCAGGAGGGCTGGACTGGTTTATGTGCATAGTGAGAAGTAACTCTAAGCTACCAAGAAATGTCAAAACTTACGTATTTCTTATTGCTATGAAGTTAGAAGGCATAATCCTGGTTCTTTTTTTTAAAGATTTTATTTATTTATTTGAGAGAGA